GAAGATGGTGTCCTAAATACTCACAGCAAAAGAACAGGTGATCTCCGGAAATTAGAATATTGCTCTAAAGTGATACTCACAATTCTGTACTTTACGTTACCATCTGCCGCCAAAGCTGACATCATGGATATCGAAACTTATAGTCTTCAGTCAAATGGATTCCATCTTAAAATCTCTGCATCAAAGTATCTGTTTGAAGATACTATTATTACTATGGATTTGCAACATGTAGAAGTCCCAAGGACTGTTGAGGGATTTTCGAAGCTAGTGGTAGGTGCAAAAACAATTCTTTCTTGGAAGGCGCGGACTAGGAAGAATACAGTAACTTTTTATAAAGCATTGAAGAAAGGTCATCAACGCCTGACAAATGGTGTCTTTTTTTCACCAATCAAAATGTCTGTATAAATTAGATTTAAGCAAGTTATAGTATACAGAAGAGGATTTACTGTTTGAACGTCTATTTTAGCTCTTGACTTTAATGTAAATTGTGAGCGATCACAGAACGAGTTTTTCCTATTGCCTAACAGTAATAAAAAATCACAATATATTCCTTCATGCTATCTTATTATTGTTATACATGACCTATCATTATCTAAAATACCTGCATATATGCATAATATAAATATCCCTCGTAACATATCAGATATAATTATGTGCATGTACATGTACTATAAATCTTAGAGAGGAATTCTTTTAAGAACAATGCTCCTATGGATTACATAATGACGCAATGCTAAAATATTGGTAGACCAATACTATCAACATACACTTGCCTATATCTCACATCAATCAAAACAATTTGTGAAGGACTTGATTGAGCATTTTGGTGGATTTGTGGATAGCAACAACCTTCTGTATACCACAGCAAACACTGCATCCTTCCATTGCCAAGAACATCTCGCATGTGTTCAAGAACTAATCCAAGGGCTCCAACCACTCTCAAATATGGTCAACAACTATTTTCATAATACATTATCCAACGCTATATACCAAGATGAAAAATCTCAACCTTGGGCCAAACGTTCCTAAATCATTCAGCACTTTCCCCACCGTTGCTATCAACTATAACACAATCTCCCAGTTTCATCGTGACTTAAAAGATCATCGAAATACTCTTTGTGTGGTCTGCCCTCTCGGTATATTTGAAGGAGGGGAGTTAACTTTTCCCGAATTAAAATTGGTCATCCATGCTAAGCAAGGTCATGGAATAGCTTTTCGATCTAACCTTTTAATTCACGGAAACCTTCCGATCATCATGGGGTCTCGACATAGTGTTGTCTTCTACGTACACAGCACGGTCATTAAACAAAACCGGAGATTTGGTTCTCTTTTTGCTGATTGCGAGTTAGATATAAATCGTAATGATGATTATGTATGCGAACCACCACAAAAATACGTCCCTCCTACATTAGGTCCGTCAACGAAATTAAAGAACCATAGGCGAACTTACATCGGTATGTATAGCCACGAAGTAGTTGCTTTCAGCAATAGTTTCATGTGCCTAAAGAATTAGGTTTCATGGTAGATTACATTCGTATAGACTGCTAACAAAAATTTATTTATTCTTATAAGATTTAGAACCTGCAAAAAGGGGTTAGCATCACAGTATAAAAAAAAATAACGAGTTATAGCGAAGGTAATTAGATTTAGCGGTTATAAATATGTAAATATATCAGCATGCTCTAAATAAAGATTTTTGTGTAAATATATCATGATCATCATGGATTAAATAAAGATTTTCGTGTGTAAATACAAGTAAATCAATTGTATTATTATTGTGTTTTTTTTCCTAAAATAATATACAAACGTTTAGGAGATTAAGAACAGATGCGACTCACTTATCACCTGAAGCAATTAGTGATATTATTATTGCTAGAGGTGAAGTAAAGGTATTATCGAGTCTTGCTAAAAAATATAATGTATCATATGCACGAATTCGTGAAATATGGGAATTTGCTATTGCGATAAATAATTAATATTTATTGTACATAGTCAACCTCGTTAATCCGAACCTCGTTAATCCGAATTTCTCGTTAATCCGAAGAAATATTCTGGTCCCGTTTATTAATATTAATAAGAAATTTAC